TGCGAGATGAATCGGACGCCGTCAAGGTAAAGGGAAATCGGGAGCGGGTCGGGCCCACCATTAGCACGAGCACGCAGTACTTCGGGGTGGTTGTTGTATATCGGGACGTCTAACACCGAGGGAGGTCTCACATGGGGACGCATCTCGAGCAGGTCTCGGGACGACGGGTCATCGCGGAGCTCGGCCTCGAGGGATGCCCAAAACGCCCGGACGGGCAAAGACCTCACCGTTCTGATTGCACTCCTGCGGACGTTGACGGGGACGTCTACGGTGAACGTTGCACTCGGGTCGGGTAAGACGTCGTCGAGGTGTTTCTGGAACCGTCCTGTCTGTGCTGTCGGGTCGACGGCATACATGCCGAAATCACCACCAGGGGTACCCGCTGCATTGGCCCAGTAGCACGCAGTGCAAAACTCTTTAGCACTAAGTTTGCATGACGCATACAGGCGGAGCAGCTGCCGCAGGAGCTCGCTGCCCGCACACCGCTGCGCATCGCTAGAGCTGTCCCAGCTCCTGGGCCCAGGAAGCGCCATCTCGATAGAGAAACGGCTAGCACGGCACTGGCGGCGCGGCACGGATGGCGCGGCACGTATCACCACCACCATCAGCATCAACATCATCAGCATCATCGTCATCAACAACATCACCCACATCATCATCATCATCATCATCACCATCATCATCATCATCCTCATCATCGTCATCAGCATCATCATCATCATTAACACCATCACCATCACCATCCTCATCCTCATCCTCACCCGCATCCTCATCCTCATCACCATCATCATCACCATCAGCAACATCATCAACGTCATCATCATCATCGTCATCATCATCAGCAGCATCAGCAACATCGCCAGCTTCATCAGCATCGCACGCACCGTCATCGGTATCTTCATCATGCTACCCGTCACCCCGTTCCTCATCATCAGCTTCCGCCGCCGCGTCTCCCGTCCACATTTTCGATATCATCATCATCCGCCTCACACGTAGCATTCCCATCATCCCTCCTCATCCGCATATCCCTCCTCCGTTTCCGCCTCACCATTGGTCCAGCAGGTGGTCGACGGAGGGGAGGAGAGGTGACCGCGCGGGTAGGGATGAGCGAGGAAGGATGGGGAGCGGGCGGGCAAGGCAGGAAACATAATGTTCAAACGGACGGGAGGTCACGACGTCTCGAGCGTCGGGGGACGGGCGTTCGAGCTCAACCAGCTCGCATCTGTTCGGCTGCGCAATTCCGCCAGATGACACCGACTCGAGAGAGGAGGATGAGGAGACGGAGGAGGCGACGGCAGACACATGGGAGGATGAGGCAGATAGAGTGGGGCCGATGAGGAACGGGCGCAGACGCGCGCGCGCGTGGCGCGCGCGATCGGGGCCTGCTCCAGGAATACCGTCTCCACGTAAGGGGCGGCGGCGAGAGAGCGCGCGGGGCAGCGACAGGGCATGAGACGTGAATCAAGCGAGAAGGAGAGATACTGAGATAGTGAGAGAGTGTTAGGCAGATAGCGAGAGACGGTTAGGGTGAGAATGAGAACGGTGTAGGGAGAGAGGGAGAGATGGAGAGAAGGGCGGAAGATTAGTGAGAGAGGGCGGGAGAGAGGGAGAGATGGGCGGGGAGAGGGGGAGCGCAAAGGAGGACGAAGAGGACGGGGAGGGGGAGGGGGAGGATGATGAGGAGGGAAGAGGTGCGCAATGCGCAGTGTATGTGCCTGGACGTCATAACTCGTAACACGCAACTGTTGCCACCGCGAATGACCGCGAGCAGGTACAACTGTGGCGGTCGACCGCCATTCGATATGCAGGGCGCTCGGTGCTGGCCAGCGCGGCACACCGTGCAAACCAAATTCTATCTGAAGGTATGCGCCCGCCCTCGCTTCGCAGACTAGACGTCCCCATCGCAGTCTGTCAGACGATCACGGGCTGTGTGTAACTCGCAGGGGCCACTCACATGGGCGAGCCGCAGGGGGGTAGGGTTGGGTTCACAGGGGGCGAAACCAACACTTGTGTCACGGGGGGCGGTGGCGAAGCATTGTGTGCCCCCAAAACAAAGCCCCCCGCGCGCGGACAGCCTCGCGACGCGCATTTTTGCACGGACGGTCGCAAATATGTGCACCGTTCGGCCCCCCCAAAATTCCACCGCATTTTCCAACGCATTGGAAATTGCAGTGGATTTCATTTTCCACCGCATTCCGCCCGAGACATCCCCACCAAATCGCACATTTTCCAATGCATTGGATTTTGGCATTTTCCACCGCATCTTTTTGAGTACAATTCACACAATTTCTGCCGGATGACCCGTGGTGATTCAGTTTTCGGATCTCATTGGGTACACCGTCCCAGGGCCCACTCCCTGAGCGCAGATGGGGGCGCCATCGTCGTGTGCGTGCTGAGCTGAAAAAGGCGCTCCACCCGAGACATCTCTTAGTCAGCAGCTCCCTTCGGCCTCGCCTTCGCCTTCGTTTTGTGCTGCACCTTGGGGGGCTGCCCGCGGTTCTTCTTCAACTCGTGGGCGGCCTGCAGGACGCCCAGGTGCTCAGCAATCTGGTCCAGCGCGGGGATCAAGTCGATGATCTTGCCGAGGACCACGTCGTAGTCGTCCTTGAAGGTGGCCTTGAGCTTCCCGAAGTCGGTCATGACGGCCTTCCCGAGGACGGCGTCCGCCACGCACGCGTCATCGAGGGCCTGCAACTTCGCGATGAGCCCCGTGTACTCCTCGTCCGTCTGGACGTACTTCCACTCCTCGGAAGATGTCGCGTTCCGCTTGAGAGTCGTGCAGTGGCTCATCAGCGTACTGTAGCGGCCCAGCGCCTTGCGAGCAGTAGACGTGGTCTCCTTGTTCTGCTTATCCAGGGCCTTCTGCTTGGCAGTGGCAGCCTCGACGGCCTTGCGCCTCCTCTTCTCAGCAGGCGTCTCCTGCTTGGACTCATCGCCTCCAGTCTCCTCACCGTTGGGCTCCTCAGGACGACCTCCCGCGGGCTGGGGCTGGAGCTCTCCCGCGGGCTGCTCATCAGACGTCTTCTCACGAAGCCTGCGCTTCTTCGCGGGGTTCGGGTTCTCCTGCACGTCCTGAGGGGCGAGGGCATGGATGGCCAGCGTGTCCGATAAACAAGAAGACACGGAGGGGTAGACGCATGAGGAGGAAAAGGAGGATGAGGAACACGAGCAAGATGCGGAGGAGGAGGATGATGAGGATGCTGGTGCTGATGATGATGAGGAGGAGGAGGGGGAGGAGGAAGAGGAGGAGGATGCTGATGAGGAGAAGGAAACTGAGAAGAGGGAGGATGGCGAGACGGAAAAGGAGGAGGAGGATGAGGAGGAGGCATATGGATGAGGGCGAGGAGGAGGAGGAGGAGGAGTTGACGCGCAGGGCTACAGACACGCGCATACATCTTCAGCATGTGGTGAGTGTGGGTGGCTGATTGTTCAGAGGGTGGGCTGAGGAGGTATGTATAGCGAGGGCGATTGTGAGAAAGCAAGGGGATGTTGAGTTTGGATATGTTGGCCCTACACATCCTGAGTTGCTTCCTGGATGGTCCACGTCTTGTGCCGCTCCCACGCCTCCACGAACGTGTTCTTGAACCCCTGAGTTGAAGGGTCCGATCGCACCAGCTCCCCCATCCATCCCCTAAATAACCTGATCCTCCATCCCGTCATCCTCTCTCCTCCCTCCACCCCTCGTAGCTCCATCCGCGGTCGGCGCGACCAGATCGACCCGTCTGCGCCGAGATCGGTCGGAATTGGGCTGATCGATCGGCACGGTCGGGAGGAACGATGATTCGAGCAAGTGGGATTCCCACCTGCGTCACGTAGAGGCACCTCAGGCTCTCGGTCATCGGGCAAAAGATGACCCACGGCGGCCCCATCTGCATGCATTTTGCCATGTAGCGAGCCGCCTGTGGGGAATCACTTCTCCTCGTCCACCTCGTCGATCCTCATCCTACTCACATCCGTCCTCATCCTTGCCACCTTTTCCCTCCTCATCTGTCTCGTCCTCCTCTCTCTAGGCGCTCGGGCAGCGTCGCCCCCTATCCGCCCTCTGCCCGTGGAAGGGCCAGTGGATTCGCTCGTGGTCGATGGGGGCTCAGAGTTTTGAAGACGTCGCGGTGTTCTCCGCCAAGCCGCGTGGCCCCAATTGGGGCATTTGCGGTTTCCCCCGCCAGACCTCATTGGCCCATCCCGCCAGATCCAACGGCCCCCATCCCGCCAGATCCCTTAGCCCCACTGCCAGACCCCCAAGGCCCCCCAAAACAAGATTATGAACGGCCCGACGGTCCTGGATGAGCCCGAGGCGGCCGCCGCCCTCGAGCCACGCGACCCTCCCTAGAGGGAGGTACTGGCCTTGCGTCCACTCGCACCTCCTCTCGCACGTTGACTTCGTCATAGTCTCCTGGCTGGGACAAGGCATCCCCCCGATGTGTCTCGGAGTGCTGCCCCCCAACTGAGGTTCGAGCTTGGCCCCCGCCCGCCGAAAATCTAAAAAACCATGGTATGATGGGCCATCCAGGGATAGTTTCCAAAAGCAAGGCCCGAAAATCCTGGACCTTCTTGTGCTCGTCTCTGGCCCACTGCGACCGGAAGGCCGCCTTCCTGGTGTTGACTTTGGCGCCCGTTATCGCGTCGTAGCGCGAGGAGATGCTGGGGTCCGACTAGGGGAGGGGCGCGGGTGGAGGAGCGGCGGGCGGACGAGGGCGATAGGCATCGCCCCCGCCAACCGCCGCTGGAGGAGGTGGAGGGTGAGAGGAGGCGGAGGAGGAGGAGGAGGAGGAGGAGGAGGAGGAGGAGGAGGAGGAGTTGAAGGAAGGAGGAGGAGGAGGAGGAGTAGGAGGAGGAGGAGGAGGAGAAGGAGGAGTAGGAGGAGGAGAAGGAGGAGTAGGAGGAGGAGAAGGAGGATGGGGGAGGGCGGGTGGAGGAGTAGGAGGAACAGGAGGAGGAGGAGGAGGAGGAGGAGGCGGGTGGGTGGGAAGGGGAGGGAGAACAACAATGACCAGGACCACCTGATAGGCTCTGGTCCACCTGCCCGCCAGCCGAGGGTCCACCTTGCCGTTTGTGGTGACCGACCAGTTCCCCAGCCGCACCGACTCCCAGAACTCCCACTCTTCCTTCAGGGTCCCCTTGTTGCGGCCCGCGCACTTGTCCTTGTCAGCAGCCCCGCCGTTGCCAGAGGGGGCGGGGCCCAAGGGCGTCTGGTCAGGGCCCAAGAGGCCCCACTTCTGCGGGTTCATCAGGTGCCCATCCGAGGAGATGTCGGCCCCCAGATCTGACATCACACCGTCCACGTCCTGGATACCCCTGTCGCGCATCATATCTTTCACTCCGCCATCATTGTACATGCTGGTCAGCGCGTGATGGATGCCCATCTCGTTGACCTCGCCCTCCCCGCTGGCTGTCTTCTTCAGGGTCTCCTGCCAGCGGCGGGGATGGGATGGGGGTGGGAAGTAGAAATGGGAGAGTGTGAAGGGTGGTAAGAGGGATTAGTCAGAGGATGGGGAGGGAGAGGGAATCGTGGAACGAGGGAATAGTCAGGGGAGCGGGAAGAGCGGGAAGAGGGATGGGGAGGGAGTGGGAAGAGGGATTAGTCAGGGAATTGAGAAGTAGGGGAGCGAGGGAGAAATGGACAGGGAGACGGAGGGCGGTGGGCGGAAGAGGGGGGGTGGGAGGGAGTTGGAAGTAGAAACGGGAGAAGGGTTGGGAGTGGGGGGAGAGGGGGAGAAGGAGAGGGTGATAGGGAGGGGTCAGATCGAAACCTATCTCAGATTGTGACTTCACGATCAGGACTGGCCACCAGATGGAGCAAACAATGGTAATCATGTGATTGGTATGGCGTGGCCCAGTCTGGTGAGGCGGAGCAGACGTAGGTTCGACGGGCGAAGAAATCCAATGCATTGGATTTTGCATTGGAATTTGGACCCGCCTCCTCCACAGGAGCCCCGCAGGGGAGCCACCCGAGGTGCCACACAGGTGCCCCAGATGGGCCCCAGCTGGTCGAGCCGAGCCCAGCCGCGAGCGACGAGGGTACACTCGACCATCTCGAACAGAGAGCATATACCATTCTCGCACGCGCAATCGATCTATCCGAAGATACTGTCTGCGGGAATCGGCGAGCGCGGCTGCGCCTGCTGGGCGGTGGGCTGCTCAGGCGGGCACAGCTCAGGGATCACCGCAGCATCCGTCACCGCACGCGTCGGCGCCGCCGATGGCCTCATGATACCGCCTGGGTCGCCCTCATCCTCATCTGCCTGGCTGATCTTCGCGGCTGGCTTCTTTGCCACTGGCGGCTCCTCGTCCTCCTCGTCTTCCACGCTTTCCTCGTCCTCCTCGGCTTCCTCATCCTCTGCGGCCTGTGCCGCTGGCTTCTTCGCCACTCGCGGTTCCTCATCTCTGCAATCTTTTGCGGCGGGCCTCTTCATCATTGCCGCGCCTTCGTCCTCGTCTTCCTCCTCCTCCTCTTCCTCCTCCTCCTCCTCATCCTCATCGCCCTCCTCGGCGGCCAGATCCTCGCTGTCGGGGGTCTCGTCGTCGTCTACCTTTCCACGTGTCTTTCCGCCGCATCTGCCTTTGCTAGACCCTCCTACGGCTGCTGGCTTTGCTGATGCTGCAGGCCGCTTCATGACTGCGGCCCTCTTGCCGTTGATCTTGAACCATTCAGCTTTCATTGCTTCCATTCTGGGCTTGTCAAGACGCAGGGCGCAGTACCCTTCAGCCAGACCAGTCACGAATGCTTTAGCCTGCTCTTCCAAATCACTTGGGTAGCCGACCATCTGCATCACCTGAAACCTTTCAGAGTTCCCCCCCTGCAGCATCTGGATCCAGGAGCCCTTCGTCTTGTGGTTGACCATGCACACGTGCACGGGCTGCTTCTCGTGGGCCCCCCGAAAGAATATGGTTGTGTCACCCGTCCTGGAGGACGGCATCGTCTGATCGGGGCTAGTTCCAGGAACTTTCCAGGCAAGACCGTCGGGCCACGTTGCAACCAGAGCATCAGTCACACCTGCCTGAATCTGGGGCTTCGTGTGTTCGGGGATCGCAGGCTTGCCGACCTCATACCGCCACGCCATCTGGGGGGGGGGCTCAAGCTACACGCCGCCCCCTCCTCCTCCTCCTCCTTCTCCTCCTCCGCCTCCTCCTCCTCCTCCTCATCCTCCTCATCCTCCTCCTCCTCCTCCGTCTCCTCCTCCTCCTCCGCCTCCTCCTTCTCCTCATCCTCCGCATCCCCATCCTCAGCCTCCTCCTCCTCCTCCTCCTTCCTCCTCCGCCTCCTCCTCCTTCTCCTCATTCCTTCATCCTCTTTATCTCCCTCATCCTCTCCCGTCCTCCTCCGCATATTTTTTCCTCCTCCCTTTTTTTCCGCCAATTCCTCAGAGCTCATAGACGCACTCGGCAGGCCTCCTCTCCTCCAGCCTTTCCTCCTCCTCCTCCCTCATACGCTCAATACCTCCTCATCTCCTTCCTCATTCCTCCTTCCTCCTCCTGCCTTCCTATCCTCCTCCTCCTCAAGCTCACCTCCTCCTCCCCCCTTCATCCCCTACCTCGTCATCATCCTCTCCTACTCACTCCTCCCCCCGCTCTTCCTAGTCATCCTCCTCCTCCTCCTCCCTCCCCCCCGCGCCCCCTCCTCCTCCTCCTCCTCCTCCTCATCCTCCTCCTCCTCCTCCTGTCGCACATCCTCCTCGTGTCTCCTCCTCCTCCTCTCCTCCTCCTCCTCCTCCTCGTCTTCCCCCGCCTCCTCCCTCCTCCTCCTCGTCTTCCCCCTCCTCCTTCCTCCTCCTCCTCCTCCTCCTCTCCTCCTCCTCCTCCTCCTCCTCCTCCTCCTCCTCATCCCCCCACGTCCCTCCTCGTCGTCGGCATCCGCCTCCTCCTCCTCCTCCTCCTCCTCCTCCTCATATTCCTCCTCCTCCTCCTCCTGAGCCTCATCTTGATGCTGTCTCGTTGTGCTAGACTACTCGCACCCCCCCTCTGTCTGTGCCATCCCGCCCAGCGTGCTGCCCCCTTCCCATCTTGCGCCTCCCGAATCCATCGTAGTCGCGGTGTCCGCCTCCTCCGACTCCTCATCCGCCTCCTCCTCAGCATCATCATCAGCATCATCATCAGTATCGTCATCCTCATCACCATCATCAACCTCATCCTCGGCATGCTCCTCGGCGTCATCAGCATCATCATCATCATCAGCATCATCATCAGCATCAGCATCGTCACCATTATAATGATACTCATCATCATCATCATCATCGTCATCGTCAGCATCAGCATCATCACACGTTTCATCATCAGTTTCATACTCATCCTCTTCCTTCTCATCTTCATCCTCCTCCTCCGCCTCCTCCTCCGCCTCCTGCACATCATCATATTCCCGACCTTCGCATACTCATCCGCATCATCATCATCATCATCATCATCATCACCATCATCATCGTAGTCATCATCACCAACAACATCATCAACATCATCACCATCATCATCATCATCATCAACCTCATCATCATCACCACCATCATCAGCATCATCAGCATCATCATCAGCTTCTGCATCAGCAATCAGCACCATCATCAGCATACTCCTCATCATCAGTAATCGTCATCATCACCAGCATCAGCATCGTCATCATCATCATCAGCATCATCATCATCATCAGCATCATCATCATCATGTTCATCATCACCAGCGTCATCATCGTTGTATGCCCCCACATCTTCCTCGTCCTCGTCCTCCTCCTCGTCCGCCTCCTCCTCGTTCTCCTCGAGTCCTCGTTATCCTTGTATTCCTCGTCGCCCTCCTCCTCCTCCTCCTCCTCCCCCTCCTCCTCCTCCACCTCCTCCTCCTCCTCATCCTCCTCCTCCTCCTCCTCCTCCCCGTTCCCCCCACACGTGAAGGGGCACCCTTAAACACCCAGATCACCTGGAGTTCCCCGCTGTACCCGAGGTTCCATTTTCCTTGTGTTTCGATGATTTCCAGCGCTGATTTCTTTGGCCTCTTGGCCGCTGGCTGCTCGACCGATGCCGCTGCGCCGCTGCCAGGATCGTCGCCGCCAGCATCGTCGTCGGTGGGCTCGGGCTCGTCCCCGTCGTCGCCGAACGTCTCCCGCGCCCGCCGCTGCTGCCTGGGGGGCTGCTGGCATCGGCCCAGGCCCCAGGCCCTCGGATCGTCGGACCCCTAGTCCCCAATCGTTGTTCGAATCGCCGTCCCCGTCGATCGATCGCCGTCGGACGTGGGCCCCGTCCCCGCTGTTTGGAACCCCGCGGGGCTTGATGAGGCCCTGGGAGACGTGGCGGAGCATGCACCTGATTTGAGCAGCCATTTCACGTGCCCAAGCGGGCCCTGCTTTGGACAAGTGCCACTCTGGTTCTCGTTTCTGGGCCAACTTCGCGAAGACCTCCTGAGAGGCCAGAGGCGAAGGAGGACATGAGGGAGAAGGAAAGAGAAGGAGCACGAGGAAGGACGGGTATGTGGAGAGAGGGTGGAGGAGGACGAGAAGGAGGAGGGAACCCATGAGGCTGCTGGGGGGATTGCGGCGATTAGCTTGAACACCACATCCTCAGCAAGAGACTGCTTGATATTTTTCGAGATCTTGCGGGTATCATTCAGGAGGTCGGCATACTGCATCAGCTTGTGTCGCAAGACGGGTGCCTTATGCAGCGGCAGGGTCGTGTACTCGACCTCTTTAGGAGAGGATATATGAAAGTGCCATGTTCGCATCAACTGATCGGCCACCGGAAGCTGCATCCAATACGTCGAAAGCGCGCTCGAGCCACATCCCTACGGACCAACTGTTGAACGCTCTTGTGTTTAGGCCGCCAGATATCTGGTGGACATGCCAAGCGAAGTCGCACCTTATGGTGCGACTTCGCTTGGCATGTCCACCAGTAACTTGGCTGGCATGGTATGACTTGGCACTGGCCACCGTCTGCAGATGGCTTGGCATGGCTTGGGCTTGGTTTGTATGACTGGGCTCGCATGGCTTGGCATGGCTTGGGCATGGCTTGTGCTTGGCATGGCTTGGGCATGGCTTGGGCTTGGGCATGGCTTGGGCATGGCTTGGGCATGGCTTGAGCTTGGCGTGGGCGTGGGCATGGTTTGGGCTTCGACGCGTTGGGGGCGTCCTGACAGGCCCGTGTGGGGCCAGAATGCCGCCCGCCCCCGCTGGGGCCAATGTGGCCCATCTGTGGGGCCACTCCGCTGGGGCCTCTGCAGGGCCCATGTGGAGACGGGCCCGAAATCCAATGCAAAATCCAATGCATTGGATTTTGCATTGGATTTCCGATGGAGACGGGCCCGAAATCCAATGCAACATCCAATGCATTGGATTTTGCATTGGATTTCCGATGGAGACGGGCCCGAAATCCAATGCAAAATCCAATGCATTGGATTTTGCATTGGATTTCCCAATTCCCGCCATTCATATAGTGTT